AATATAGCCTAAGTGTAATCCAAACGATAGATTAATAAATAGGTTAAACACAAGTATAAAGGTTTATACTCGAGTTCCTATATACTTACCTACTCGGCTGCTTAGGGCTCCTAAGTAGCTAAGTAGGTCACGTGACCTATCTTGGCTTACTCGGCTACTTAGGGCTCCTAAGCAGCTGAGCAGATCACGTAACTACTATCTAAGCGGCTTGGCTACTCTTTATCTCGTCACAACCCTACCACTATATTCTCGCACCTTTATAAGCGCCCCGCCTCACCCTTCTATCTTCCGGTTTATAACATCATCCCCCTCCTTTCCATTCTTCGTCCCGAAGAATTATGCCTACTAACCATTATCCTACTAAGCGTCGTCGCGACCTCATTTTTACCATCAAGAATTATGGTACCATTATAGTGTCTAAATATTCCTTCTATTGAGCACACTCTCGTGTGTGTAAGGTCCATATTAGTTTAGGGAAGTGTAGTGAATGTTAGAGATAGGGGTTAAAATGCGACGTGTCTATTACTCGAAATGAGTTTTCGTGGTTGGTTACTGAGAAGAAGAAATTAGAAGCGTAATTACTAGAGGCGCGTAAGGAATAAGACACTACGTTTAAAGCGTTATACGTTGCGCATATAAAAGAAGAGCGGCTAGTAAAATAGCTAGCATAAAATAAGAAGTGTACTAGTAAAGTTATCATGGTAGAGAGTGCTACTTTGGAGGAGTTAGAAGAGGATCCAGTTCAGCCTACTTGGCCGGCTGGTCCTACCGAACTTAGCACTTCTATGTGGTCTGCCATGGATGATCTTCCACCTAGGTTCTAGGAAAATCCTATTTCGTCGTCTTAGGTGTGTCATAGTCTTCGCTATTAGAGTGGTATTATTCTTAAGAAGAATTCCTATATGCGTTACTAATAATTGGATAGATTTTCCTTTAGTTCCTATATGTTTTCGCTTAATGGGTATCCTTTCTATTTAATAAGATATTCTTCTTTATCTATAAATAGATTACATATTTGTATAATTCGTTCCACCTTAAATTCCGTTTCTTCCTCTGGCTAGTAATAGAAGGTGGTTTCGGCTGGTGTATCCTAATCCACTGGTTCCAGTAATAATATATGGAATATCGGGTATACATTAATATCTAGTGGTAATTCTAGTTTATAGTTTACTAGTAAT